CGAGCTGGGCTGAGGGCACCTCCCCCCACACACACACCAAGTGCACGAATTTCGTGCACCGGGCCCCTAGTCTATATATATAAAAGCCTAAGCAACCATTACGACCAAACAACCGGAATGACCAGCCAGTAGCTATGACACGTACTGACCCAGAACTTGCTGTTGGGGCCTTGACAGCCTCAAATCTGGTTCACCTTATCCCGGACCCAGACAGGAGGGAAGAGGGAGCCCACTTCCTCTCAGAACTGGCTGTTGGTTAGCTTGCTGCTGGGGCCAACCTCCTGCGGTCTCTCCCTCAAGCTGGCCGTTCCCCTGATCGACCCTGATCGCCGGCCAGGCCAACAGACCCCACCCGTGCACAAATTCGTGCCCTGGGCCTCTAGTTTAGTATTAAAAAATTAAATACATTGACTACAAGGTTGCACTTCTGTGTCATTATGATGTTAGGAGTGTTACTAATTGTATACACCTACTTTCAATCAAGTCCTCCCCTACCAGCTCCCAAATATGGACTTTGGAACAAGCACTTCAGAAGCTAACTATTGGTGGTTTCATCTTAAGTCCAATGCATGGGATGTGGGAGAGATGTCATTAATGTACTAGTATTCTAATGGTTAAAAGCATCTTTTCTGAAGTTAAACTACCCAGGTTAAAATACTACATCTGCTACTTTCTCTATGATTTTGAACAAATTACTTAAAAATAGTACCTGGCACATACTATGAATATTTATTAGTTCTTATAACACATGCACATGGGGAAGCTGAAGAAGCCATGCAAGACATTATCAGATGCCACTCCTACAAATCTTAATAATCAATACCTAGTTTTCATAAGGTGTCTATGATGCCATACATAAACTCAGCAACATAGAAGCCATTGTAATTGATTGATCGCAGGAATTCCTCTTGCTATACCATGGATATGATGGGATATGAGATTCTATAATTTGATAAACTTCTATCTGGAGAAGGGAAATTTTTATTAACTGCAATACAATTTTAATGACTCCATTTTTAAAAATTATGTAGGTCACTAGTGTCCCCACTTGGTAAAAAATGCTTATATAACAACTATTGTTACATATTTTTATTGAGAAAGAATCACAGTTTGTCAGCTACACTTCCTAGAATACAATGTTGAAATAATTATCAGACAAGAAATGGTTAGTTATGTAATAATTATTTACCCTTAAATTATCTCCAATATTAATCTATAGAGCTTGTGTTCAAACTTGGAAAAGAAGCCAGAACTAGAGAGGAATCATGAAAACAAATACATACTGAATATGTAGAGTTCAATAATATGCTCATCAACCAGACTCAAAAATCACAATACTAATTTTATCTATTCTGGTTGTCTGTATTAAATGTGAACATACTTATTTAACAAATATATAATGGTAATTACTACCCTCCAGACACTGTTTTAAAATACTTTTTAGACATTGAGTTATTCAATTCTTAAATTAACTCTATTTGTAGGTGCTATCATTTTTCTTATGTTTACATATAGAAAACTGAGGTATGAGATGGCTGTGTCGCATGCCTAGTGTCATACAGCTTAAGTGACAGAATTATGGTTTGAACCCTGGGAGTTTGGTCCCCATCACCAGGTAGTAGTTATCAAATATATACCTGTTAAATAAGTAAATTCATATTTAATAAAAATAACCAGTATAGATAAAACTAGTTTTGAGACCATGAGTCCTTTTGATGAGCAGATTATTGAACTCTCCACACTCAAGTTTTATTTGCTTTTTCTCCGGCTTATTCTCCAAATTTGTACATAAATTCTATAATAGTAGAGAGAATTTAAGGGTAAATAGTTA